CCGTTATTCAACGTCTTCTAGACAGACATTTAGCAGTCCAAATAGAACCAAATTTGATATGGTAACATTTCAGGACATGCAGAAAACATTTCCGTAAAATAAATATTTGTACCGAAACTCACTACTGTGGTATGTTTGATGATGTAAGTGAAGAAAGATCAGTTTCATTTGTGGAGACAAAAAGTGTAGATTATCGAAGATATTTTGCAAATTTTGCAGCCTTGAAAGGCATCACATTGTATGTGAGATATCGCAGAGGATCAATTATCACCCAATGAACACGCTGTCATAATGGAAACAGTATTGAGCAGAATCACTGTATAATAAGAGTATTTTTTACAAATAAGTTCAGCACCAAAATTACCATAGTGGCGCGTTTTTGTACTATTCTGTTTTACAAAAATGTCTTCTGCATGTCATGAAATATCACCATACCAAATTTGATTGCATTTGAATTGCTAAATATCTCTCTAAACAGCGTTGAAAAGGGACTTTAATTACGATCATTCGATACATAGTTCTGAAATACACTTAGACCTATATATGAATATTTATACATATTTATAATGTATAAATATTCATTATCAGTTTTACGTATGACTAACAAAAACTATTTTAGTGTTTTATTATTAGAAAAGTCGTTTTTCTATCAAACGATGATTTTTATTAATTTTCGGAATTACCTTATTGTGAAATGACATTTTCTGTTATCAATTGTCGTGACGTATTGAATTCTTTAGGCAATCTTTATGAAAAAAAACAAGTTGGATTTTTCCCTTTTTGACTTTAATAATAAATTTAGACTAATAAATATTCACATTCCATAAACGTGTGGATAATAATATAATGAAATAGCACAATTTTTCCCGTCAAATAACTCGCGACATTGAGCACGTAGGATCGCGAGTGTCATCCCACGCCATCGCATTCAGTATTGAATTTTAAGTGTCATTTGCCTATTTTTATTGATGTTATTTATAATTTATTATTAATATACTCTTGAATTTTCGGGACAATATGAAATATAACATAATATTATTTGGACGATATCGTACCTATCGAAACCTAATTTCTTTTATGTTTTGTATCATAAATTGAGGTTTTGTTCGTAAAGTTATGAAATTCTAGTACTAAATATCACAAAATAATAAAATTATTATAATAATAGAGCTAGTCGTAAAACGAGAGTTATAATATAAATGGTCGTAAAGAGGAGTCTACTATAATTACAAAAAAAATTAATAATAATAATAATAGTGTGAATAAGTTCTTATTTTCGTGTCAGTTTTAATGTTTAGGAAAGGAGCAATATAAAAAGTTAAAGAATTTTTTTTAATCTAACCAAACATTAAAGAACATAGCCAAAAAGAGTTCGGTTCTACGCTTCAGTGATTCCGAATTGGTGCAGAAAGCAGAACTAAATGGATTAAAGAGACTTTTCAACACCGCTTCTGATACCTTCTTTGTGTAATTCATATTTACGGTTCGATATTTTCATCATTTATTGAAGAAAGTAATCAATAATAATCTGACGGAAGTTAAGTCTTTAATAGTAATTTTCGTTTGTTTCACGTTGTTGTTAATGGAGTATTATTCTTCCCAGAAAAAAGACTGTTTGTGTGATATTTTCGTAAATTATTAAATAAAAAAATCGATATAAATATTTCTATTTACATTTGAAAGTATAATTTTTTTTTTAATTTAAAATATATATCTTTCTTTTAATACCAGGTACTTCTAAGTGTATACACTTTAATAATCGATATATTATGTAAATTTTTATTTTTCCTGTAAAAAGTATCAATACTCTATGTTTTTTACTATATTATATAATTTAAACACATAATGAAGTTTCGGATTTATGAACATAGAAGTATGATCCTACATCCGAAATTTTATTGATTAGAGCTTAATAATGGATGGTCCTAGTCTCTGTAGATCAATCTTTATAACCTTACCTTATAAATCTATTTTTAAATGCCTCCAGACAACATTTAAACACTAATATGTTAAATAAATTATCTTTCATCTAGTAGTGTTTACTTACACTTTTGACTGGTGTAATTATCAATATATATTTGCATCTAAAATAATCTCTCCATAGAGATACCCTACTTTAAACAAACAGTTTTTTTCTCCTATTATCCTAAAAAGGAAACATTAAGTTACAAAATCTGAAAGAAATAGAGAACTTTTCTGACTTCAGAAGAAATGAATATTCATCTGTAGTAAACACCACAGTCTTTCTCTGTTTTTGACTTAATGGATGGTGTACATATAGTGTATATCCAGGCTACTCTTTCGCTACGTCTATGTATTGTAATGTACTGTACATAACACCATTTTAAGTTTTCAAATTGTTCATCATGTATTGTTGACATCGCTGAATAAACGATATTGAAATATTCACCGAGAAGTCTATTAATTGCTTACGTTAACAATAAGTACAGTAGACCCCCCTATAACATTGTAGATAATTCCGTGTTATATGAATTCCATGTTCCACTTAGATTTCACAAATACGTGCTCCGGGCTGTGAACGGCTCACATATTTGTAAAATCTAAATGACTCGTATAACATGGAATTCATATAACACGGAATTATCTACAATGTTATAGGGGGGTCTACTTGTATTGTTGCTTTCCTACTAAAAAAACACGCTTAAATTTTGTATTATCGAAGTGTGATGTAAGAACTTTAGCTATTTTAATTTTAAAATATTTATATTTTTATGTAAATATTTTGTAAATGTAAATGTTTATAAATGTATTAAATGATTTTTTTAATGACAAATATTTAAAAATGTTATTATGTTCCTTAGGCAATTTACGAATTCCCTATTACTCGATATTAGATAAGTATTTTATCTTTAAAACTATTTAAATTTTAAAAATATATTCATATCTATTAATATAAAATAAATATTTTTTTAAAAAATAAATTAAAAAATAAATTATTTATCAGTTATAAAAAATATATTGATATTAATAATTCATTTAACTTATTGCATTTAAAATGCAATAAGTTACTGCAGTATTTCTTAGAGTAAGAATGAAGCTAAATGCTCTTTAGCTTGACTCCGCCACAGTAGCTAAAAACAAGAAGTAATTTCGGGATTGTAATTGTAATTATATTGTATTATATTATAGGAAAATAAGTATTAGACTGTTGTTATTTTTATAATTACCAGTATTTTATTGTTAACAAGGTTTTAATAAATAAATAAAGGATTTTCCTTGTCATCAGCGATTAATTTCTCAATTGGTTTAATAAATGAAGCTCCCTTTATATCATTTTCAAATAAACTTCTGACATTATCTAACTTGAAAGCTTTATTGTGATGTGCAATGTAACCTTTGACCTGACTTCAGGCTAACTCAATCGGGGTAAGTTCTGCATGATGTGATAGGCGTAATATAATGCGACCTGTTATTCACGTCGACGATACTACAACTTAAATGCTTCAGCTTCTCTATTTTCACTATTATCCAACAATTCCTACTTCAATTGTTCTGGTTTCTATGATATTCCTTTCTCGGTTAATCAGTCACGAATTTGTGAGCAGATTCTCAGAGCAAACACCTTTATTATCTATAACAATAGTAAAATCCAAATGAGGACCCACTGAGCAAACTCATCATGGGTTTGGCCAAGTGATGAAGTACGAACCATCCCTGAAAAATTATAGGGATTTTTCTACCCATCCAGATTCTATTCTGGGTCTTCTAGAGCGGTAGCTTACACCTTAACTGCTCGGCCATTATTGTGTGTATTATGTTCTTCTGTACTTCATAATGAATACGGGACTATTTTCCTTTGCGTGTGTACAGTAATGAACATCTGCTACATTCTTATTCCGAAAATATTATGAATTTTTTGAATTTGTAAAGCTCTTTCTGATTTGTCAATTCGAATTCTTAAACAATATAAATCGTTAACTAACAATAAAAATAAAAAAAAGTACTGTTTTTCGTATATCGACATCTAGCGGTAAAATTTGATATTATTTTTTAAAAAATAAATTTAAAAAAAAGAAAATGGAAAACATTCTTTAAAAATTAAATGTTTTAATATTTAATTTCTTGTTAAAATATTAAAATTATTCAATTCTTTAATATAATATTATCAATAATTAATCGTTTGAATGAACGTTTAGCGAATAATTACTCAAGAATGTAATTAAAAAAGGAAATTTTATAAAGAGAGGGAGGAAAAAAATAAATACAGTTTTTATAAACATCATTTAACTTAAAATTCTTCTTCATTAAATATGATAAATCAAGCGAATATTTTAACTTTAATACATCCAAAAACACTTTTTGCTAATTAAAAAAAAGTGTAAGATACTTCTAAGAATAAATAAATTGGTAGAGTTAACACATAAAAAAAAGGGGGTGAAGTGATAGAGTTTAACCCACGCCCGATGAATTATTGTCTGAAGGGTGATCATTTCACGTCACAATGATTTATGTACCTTACGATAACTTGCTCTATCTGTTCTTTGAATGAGGTATATTTATTCGCATTATTTATAGAGATATTTAACTAAAAATACTAAATATTTCTCCAATAATTTCTATTTTATCTAAATTATATCTACGCCATTTTATACTTTAACTAATTCCTTTTTTTCGTTGTTGTTTAATGCTTACTTCTTTTATGTTGATGAATGATGTTAATTAACAACGATATAATAATTGAATTTTGAATAAAAACAAGATAAATTTTGTTTTTATTTTTGCCATTTTTTAAATATGCTTTTCATCGAATTAGAAAGTAAGCAAATGATCAAAGTGATGTGGAACATACAATTTCCATGTGATTGGCTTTCTGTTTACCTTGCGAAGATGGTGTAAAACTCGTTCTCTGTGTTAGAAGATCCTGAAAATATAACGAAAATATAAATTAGTTTCTTAAATAAATAAAAGTAATAAATTTTACAGATGTTCTTACTTCATTTTTATAGCAATCAGCTCTTCTGTATGGTGGATTTAAACATTTACAGCTATTGCACTTTAGTTGATCTATCAGACACCACCTAAATCTTCGATTTAGCCAGCAGTAAAGTATAGGATTGATGGCACTGTTGGTATGTCCTAGTAATAATCCAAATGGTAAAAAATCCAAAAGGGCTTCGTCCATTTGAGTATTCATTTGGCAGTCTAACAGGAAAGTGATAAAATTGTATGGGACCCAACAAGCTGCAAAAACAGTCGTTAGAATAACGAATCTTTTGGCTACTTGACGCCTTTTTTGTAATATACTTTGAAGTCTAACGGAAACATCACTCTTGTTCGAGCTCATTTCTCCAGAAACTGATCGAATAGATGATATTTTCTGTTTCTCACAAAGTCTTATACCTATTCGAAAATAGGCAAAACCCATTATTAAACCAGGAATAAAAAAAACAATGACGAAAACTGTGATGCCAAATGCTCTTTTCTTTCCAAGAGATTGCCAATATTCTACACAAAATACGACGTAAGTTCCAGAACTGTAAATAAAATAAATTAAGTATAAATAATTTATTTTGAAATTTTATTATATATATTCTTTTCTATACTTTCTAACGAAAGATAAATTAGATTTTGATTGGTTAAACTCTAGATATTTACAAATTTGTTTCATTGATTGTATCATGAATTATAGACTAATGATTAGATTAATGGGACGTTGATGGATCAAAAGCTAACCGACATCAAACTTGACTGAGTACTAATTGCTAAAACAGGTCTATATCAAACGATATTAACAAATCATATCATCATTTTTTTCCCTATATACTGAATCTAAATGGGGAAGAATTTTTGTATATAAAAAAAGACTGGCTTCTACAACCATTCATTATTTAATAATTAATAATTATAAAAAAAGGAGGAAAATCTTATAAAAACTAACGTCTATATTTACAAAAGACCCACCCAAATCGAGTTCATATTTGATATATTTTTAACTTGTTTTTTGTGTGTTTGTATGCGTGTATATACACATACATCCTATGCTTAAATGGCAAATTTCTGATAATAGACAGGTGATCCCCGTGGTGATCAATCATGATATTATCGAGAGATAGAAAATAAATGATAACGCAATTATCATGAAATTATTATTAACATTCTCGACGCGTTACACTCCGAAGTATATATTTGTTATAATTTCTATCATTGGTTAATTTGAGAAATAATTATAGTTTAGCGTTGTATATAGGTTAGAAAAAATGGGGGAAATATTTTTTACTTAAACTTAATGGAATATATTTACACTCAATCTAGATCTAAGTGTCCTAATTAAACAATTTTACCTAGCAGGATCGTAGAAAGTCACTCCAGGCGTAGTTCTAACTACAAGGATGGGGATGAAGAGGAGTGCTGCTAGAAACCAAACTATAACAACTGCCATTCTTACGTGACGACGTCCAAATATTCTTCTACACGTTATAGGATGACATATAACGACGTATCTATCCAAACTCATCACAGTCATTGTGAATATACTAGAAGTAACTGCTACAGCTTTAGATACAGATATACAAAATGTTTGATATTTTATTATTAAAAAAATCTACTTAAAATCTCTAAAAAGTACGCATTACCTTGGAGATAATTAGATAATTTACACATGAATTCACCGAAAATCCATAGCTTATAAGTATAGTTTCCGATAGCCATTGGCATGCATACTAAAGCAACTAATAAATCGGCAATGGCTAAAGTGATCAATAAAGTATTCGGTAATTGTCTCATACGTCGATATCTGAAAGAAAAAAAAATGTCAAAAAATAAATTGTTTAATGAATCAAATTAACAGGTTATTAATAGCAAGTGATGTCATCTGTTATCCCAAGCAAGAGCTATAATTTTCAACAAATCGTTACAGATTAAGCGGAAAAAATCATATAAGAAAGCAAAAATCATGTCAAAGATAATTCCTTTCCTCATTGATAACAGAGGCAAATTTGGGTATGAGGAAAACGTTCTTTTTTTTTTTTTGTGCCATCTTTCCTTCGCTATTGTGCCAATTTTTCCTATAAAAATAATGAAGTGATCACTGTAATAGCTTTATATCGTGATACATAATCTATAAATTTCTCACATCTTTCGAGAATTTCTTTACAGAGTTATTAAAATTATAAAATGAAGAAATTTTCATTTAATAAAGATAAATTTTCTAGCTTATCGATGACTCATTTAACCATCAAAGGCGTTCAAATTGAGCAATTTTATAGCCTAAAATTGCTATTTAAATTTTTTTTTTCTGTTGGAGAAAAAAAAAAAACCTTAATTTTTTTTTATCGCTTCGAAAAGTTAAACATTGACAGACAGATTTGAAGAGTTAAAAAATCGGACGAATGCCCCAGGGTGGACAAGAGATCGTCGACATCAGACGCGTCGGTATGTCAAAAAGTAGGACAAAGCTATACATTTAACGTTTCTGTCCCCGAAGGCCCAAAGATATATCTAAAAAATTCAAGAAGATAGAGAGAAGCACGATAAGTAAAAATTGAACATATGGATATTAAGAATTGTTTACTACTTTATACAGCAATGTTTTTCTATTGGAAAAAAGGAAGTTTTCTTCGACTTTTTTAAAAAAAATTTACATATATCAAGTGTCATATAANAGTCCATTTTTTTTTTTTCATTAGAAGGCCAAAAGACGTTCCAAGGATATCTTCTAGGCCAAAATATATCGTTAACATTAAAATTATATGCTTATTAATAACGCTAGATCATGTTTATAGGCTGTACTAATACATTGAAGATTGTCTTATCATCCTAAGAATACGAATTAAAAAAATAGGATTTAAAACTTATATATAATATATTGAAAAATATTAATTTGTTCGACTCTTATAAATTATTAATAAGGAATTAATTATATATCGGAGTTTTAATAGTGATAAATAGATTTTTGAAATCTCTCTGTCCATAGGAAATTGCAAGTTAATAATGTAAGATGTTTTGTGAATAAACCAATAAAATTCGCAGTTGTTTAACAATATGATAACTACTATTACGTCAATAATAAAATATTCGTACTAAGTTTATCATTAATAACATTATGTTCACGTTATTAACTTTATTAAGTAAATTAAATTAATAGTTTTCATGTTAATAATTAGGTTTCAGTAATTAACTATTCAAAAATTGTCGTTTAAAATTAACGTCTAACTATAGTATCTCCACATCATCTAATATCATCTGACACCATTTCCATCATCCTAGTTTCCACATCATCTTCTCAACATTATCTTTACATTATTTCCTCATCTATATCATTTCATCTCTCACCTTAATAGTAACATCATCTCTAAATTATTCTTAAGAATGGCATAAAGATTTAATTCAATCTCTATATAAAAGAGTATCTAAGAATTTGATAAATCGAAACTTTTCAAAATAATAAACAGGTTATAGCATTCGTGTCACATATGTATAACTGTTATTGATTAAACTGCTTTGAATTTTGTATGTAGTGGTAATGGTATAAAGTTCACAGCATAAAGAAATAAACAGTAGGAATAGTGGTATAGAATAGAGAAATAATGGCACAAAATAGGTTTTTTTACCTTTAAAAAAATACACTATATGTAAATTTTCTATTTAAAATTGCAAATTTATAAGTTTAATCTTATTAGAAGAATTATCTTAGGCTACACCCTTAAGAGAATTTTGAATTTTCTAGTAATTATAATGAATTTTTTTTTTTTAAGTATGGAAGTAATGGAGTAAAGTAATGAAGTGATGTTACGATTATATTTATATTTTATCAACATTTTTTTTTATTTTTTTACTCACGTTTTTGTGTAAGTACTTACCTGAAAAATGTTAATAAAGCCAAAGTGTTAGCAGTTGCAGCTATTAAAAAGGAGGCCACATACAATGTTATCAAAACTAAGTTACGCGTTTCTGTTACGATCAGCTGATCGTGTTGGTATTCCTGAAGGACGTGCGAAAACATTTGAAGTACCGTAGCATTGGTGACTTCTGGTACGTCGGCCGTGACATTGATGTAAAGATGGAACCAGTTAGTCGTTTCCATTACTTCTGAAATGACAAAAAAGAAAGAAAGAAAGAAAAAAATCTGATGTTATCTTATCTTAAAAAAAAAAATACATAATTTCAAGTTTACTAAACGTTTTTTCTCTATTCATAACTGCATTTTTAGAAGCTTATCTCAAGCTTCTTTAAGTTGCCATTGAAGAATTTTGGATATTTATTTTGTTTTTTTTTTTGCAAGATTTTCAAGCAGAAAATATGGAGGAAAATAAGTTTTGTCGATAAAATTAAAGGAAGAACTAAAATTAATTTCTTCGTTTTATTTTAATTACTGTAAATAAAATGCTTGATAATTAAAATTTCAAATGGGAAAATCACTTAAATTATTAAGGAAAAAGGTATTAATAATATATTTTTTTTAACATTACTTAAAGGAAAATTTTTCTTGACCTTAAAAAAATACACTCTTTCAACTGTCCTAAAATTCTTTATTTGAAATATTTCGTGTGTTTATGCCTCAAACGATCTTCTTTTACTCTTTTCTATAGTCCATCAGATAAATTAAAAACTATTTTTAAAATGTCATAAAGAATTAATTTAATTTAATTTTACTAATTAAATTCAATAAAATATGAGAATTAATCTTAAAAAAAACAACAGCAATTTCAGAGCAATAAATATTCTTTTTAATCTTCACAGTTTCATTAATGAGCTGTTTAATCCTATCTGAAGAAGAATTTATCCTCCTCCTCATTTCTTTATCACCAAAAAATCTAAATTATGTTTTCATCTTTCGCTGTATGGTTCCAAAAAAATGAATTTAATATTATTAATTATTATAAAAAGTCTTATTTTGAAGTAGGGATTAACTTTTGTAAACGCTAATAACGAGTAAAATTTCCATTAAGTCTGACCTCACCCTAAATATGACACGTGACTACTCTCTATCTTCTCACCCTCTTGACCTCTGACCACCAAAATTTAATAGCATAAATGCCCGGTATATAGAAATAATCCTGTCAGGTTTCAAATATTTTGGTTCATCTAGTCCTTAGATATAATGCAAAATAGACGCCCACACACACATATACAGAATTTTGCAAGGATTACTTTACATTTTTGGGCTCGTGGAGTGTCAAAACGTCGAGAAGTGAAAAAAAAAAAAAATTAGGAGGAGAGGTCAAAGTTTCACCAATTACCATATTTTCCTTATGTTATAATTCTATACAACATTGTATTACGATATTCCCCTCCAGAAGAGTAAAAATTGCTTAATCCTCCTTACCATTAGCTTCATCATCAGTAAATTTATTCATATTTTTAACCTTTATTCAAATATATAAAATATTTACTTAAAAAATTCATTAATTCTACTTAAAATTTTAATTTTATAGAAACCGAACAGCAGATAGGTTTTTGTCCTCAAGCTTGTTTTCTAACCCTGTTTACAGAAATATAATTATTAAGAACAATAATTCAAAATGAAAAAATAGGATTCTAGAGTAGTTAATTGCTAAAATAAAAGCCTAGGGCAAAGGTGGAGATCATTTTTTTTTTTTCATTAGAAGGCCAAAAGACGTTCCAAGGATATCTTCTAGGCCAAAATATATCGTTAACATTAAAATTATATGCTTATTAATAACGCTAGATCATGTTTATAGGCTGTACTAATACATTGAAGATTGTCTTATCATCCTAAGAATACGAATTAAAAAAATAGGATTTAAAACTTATATATAATATATTGAAAAATATTAATTTGTTCGACTCTTATAAATTATTAATAAGGAATTAATTATATATCGGAGTTTTAATAGTGATAAATAGATTTTTGAAATCTCTCTGTCCATAGGAAATTGCAAGTTAATAATGTAAGATGTTTTGTGAATAAACCAATAAAATTCGCAGTTGTTTAACAATATGATAACTACTATTACGTCAATAATAAAATATTCGTACTAAGTTTATCATTAATAACATTATGTTCACGTTATTAACTTTATTAAGTAAATTAAATTAATAGTTTTCATGTTAATAATTAGGTTTCAGTAATTAACTATTCAAAAATTGTCGTTTAAAATTAACGTCTAACTATAGTATCTCCACATCATCTAATATCATCTGACACCATTTCCATCATCCTAGTTTCCACATCATCTTCTCAACATTATCTTTACATTATTTCCTCATCTATATCATTTCATCTCTCACCTTAATAGTAACATCATCTCTAAATTATTCTTAAGAATGGCATAAAGATTTAATTCAATCTCTATATAAAAGAGTATCTAAGAATTTGATAAATCGAAACTTTTCAAAATAATAAACAGGTTATAGCATTCGTGTCACATATGTATAACTGTTATTGATTAAACTGCTTTGAATTTTGTATATGTTTTTGAAATTTTGTCATTTCATTCGCCTTCGAATATTGATTTCAAACTTAATTTATTTATTAAAAGAAATATTTTATATATAGTTCACCAATTATTTTAATTTATAAATATAGTATCATGACTCTATTTAAATAAATATCCCAGTAGAGAGAAGTCGAAAGTTTACAAGCTTACAAGTTAAATTATACATAGAATATATAATATATCATCGCGATATTTTCTCAACGAGACCATCAGTGGTCGAGTGGATAAAACATCTGAACACTGGCAATTGGTTTCGAGTTCTCACTTAGCCAATGGACTAACCACGTGGAGTTTTCCGAATTTTCTTCACTTTTTTAACATCTAAATGTGGACCAGTTTTTCAAAGAGAGTAGCTTACTCTAAAGAGGCATTCCTCTCCTTTGTGTCACGTTATCGAAACCATTTTCTCACTCTAGGAGTTTTCATCAAGCAAATGGAAGGGTTTTTGAAATTTTATAGCCTCCTGTATCAAATCATATTGTCTAATATCCATTCTTCTCTTCCTGTTTCTTAAGCTCATAACCCTCTCTCTTTCAAGTATTCATCCATTCGCTATATCACTTACAGTGGATGTGTGTATACATGTTTTGTCATCTCCCTTTAGTTCATAATTTCCTTCGCTTTGCACTCCTCCAGTACATCTACATCTCTAACACGATTAAAAATAATGAAGATAATTACATTAATTTGATTATCATCTATATTTTAAGCAAGAATACAAATTTTTATACTCTTATAATCACCCCTCCGGATGATGAATCGGTGTCATTCGATATAATATAGGATGATAATTGAAATTTCTGAACGAACTATTTAATTCTAACAATATTTTGTATTAGAAGGCTTAATTTTTAGAGAAAAACCAGAGAAAACTATGATTATATCATTTCCAATTTGCCAATGATAACGGCGAATGTGTTACGTTAAGAAAGACAAAGCGAAAGTGAAACAAATGAATATTCAACTGGGAATTGTTCGAGGGAGGAAATCAATTGAAAGGAGAACTTTGTAAACAATTCTTTCTTTTCAATTAAATTACAGTAACTATTGTAAATGCTTTCATCTAAATAATACATGTTTCCTCTAGTCATACAGTGAAATTTTTGACACGAAGCGTAACACGAGATTTATTCGAATTTATTTCCTTTTCTAAACAATTGCATTAAAAATATCGTGCACATTTTTTTTTTTCGAACAGGATATAACTAAATTTTCTGTTAAAATGAAATACTTCTGTAAAAAAGTATACACGTATATATAATCTTAACAATGATAGGTTTATAAGGATGCTAAAGATGAGGAAATGGATGATACGAGTGCGATGAATAGTTAAATTAATAAAGATGCTAAGGATGTGGAGATGGATGATTACGTTGATAAGGATGCTAAGGATATTCTTGATAAGGTTTATAATAATGGGAAAGAAATAGACGTGAATAGTTAAGTTAATAAGGACGTGAAGGATAAAGAGGATATATAAATGGTTAAGTTAATAACAATGCCAAGGATGTGAAGATGAATAGATATGTTAATAAGGATGCTAAGAAGATGGAGATGGCATTAAGAATTATGTAGTGGCGATTATTACTGATGTGAATTTATATATATATATCCTTAAGTATACCGATTTTATTATCCTCTATAAAAATCTAGAAATTTTATAGTTTTAAAATTTTTTAAATAATATATGTGGAATTTAATTAATTTTAAAAAACTTTAAATGGTTATATGATTAGATTATACGGTTAAATAAACAAATTAAACCAAAAAAATATAAATATTAAGTAAGTTGAAAGAAGGTTAATAAAATACATCATTCGTAAAGTAATTTTTATTTTTATTATAAAATACTTTCTAGAAAAGTTTTACTTTTATATAATATTTTATGCACGAAATAATTTAACCAACTGAAATTGAATATTCAGACGACAGTATATATTTGGAATTTTTATATTTCGTGTTCGGTACTCAAGATTCTTTGATTTAGAAATCAAATTTAAAATATATAAAATTTATTATATAATATTTTAAAAACTTCTATTATGGAATTTTGCAGAAAAAAAGTTTTGAAAAAGTTCAAAAAACTGAAAAATTTTGCGTAAAAAAATGAATTTATTATTTTCATTCTTAATTAGGAAAATGTTTTAAATTACAATTGAACGATTCTCTTATTTATTTTCCTTAAAATTTCTTCCTATAGATAGTTTTTTAATTTATTTACAGCGAACTCGATATAGTGAACTTATCGTTACAGTGAGCAATTTTATTATCCTTGCTATTTTTATAGGGTGTAAACACCAGGCTATATATCACTTCTACTATGTAATAACTAAATGCAATTGCACTAGAGGGATTGAAGGGTGGTTTAGATAGATGTCACGCACTCCAACCTTCCCTTCGTATGAAGGAAATTCTTATTTTGGATCCTACATAGCTTAAATTAAGTCGTAAAGCACCTCGACATCTGTGAAAAACATTTTGTTTGGTTAAAATACTCAAAAAAGAAGCAGCTTGACACTGTCAAAAAAATGAGTGGTGAATGCACGTGATGCTTTTCTGCATGGCCCCGCGTGCTGAAGGTCACAAATTGTAAAGAAAGAAGAGTAATAGCATGCTTTATTTT